GTTATAGAGCCTTGACATGGTCTAGGAAACCTACTTTATCGTCTGAGCATTGGCGACAGGATTGAGCTGCCGAGAGCGCGCTTCACCTAAGAGAAGACCAGGCGTAAAGGAGAACCCAACAAAAGGGAGGTCCTGTGCATAGTTCGGACCCTGCCACTGAACGTCTTCTACCTCCTGTACGTCTTCCTTGATAGGCGCAGTAGCTGCTTCGTAAATGGCCTGTCGTTTCTTCAACTTATTCGCTTCCACACTGGCTGCCGTGTTCGCGGGGTCGATGTTCTCTACGTCCTCAGACCGCTGGAGGTTGGCAGATGACGGGGCGTGGGGAATATTCCTCAAGGGTGATATGGGTGGATCAGACGACATGTCTAACAACTGTTCATCGCGAAAACGCGAAGCGCCTCCGGAAAAGTTTGAGACATCGTCAACTTCACCGACGGGAGGCAAGTAGGGTGGGGTGTCTGTGGGCAATGAAATATGAAAGTCAACTAGTGCTCAATCTGGAAGGTCAGGCAACCATATTACAACTCACAATTTCAAATGCGACTTATGCAGGCATATGTACTGCGAGACTGAAGATTCAAGAAAACAAGTGGAGACACCATTGGACAGATCGAACAATCGCATCCTTGCTCTCCATAAACACTAAAGTCACTACTACTCCTACTATTACCGAGAAAATAATAGTACCAATCATCGACGGTGGTGGCAGCAGATATACCAAAAGTCACAGGATGCCAATGGCTCAGGACGCTAATCTTAGCCATTCTGGGTTAAGATCCATCATCAGAGAATAGCCAAGACCAACAGGCGATATAACGGAGACGGTCAAAGCAGAACTACGATAAAATGCCTGAGAGCACTGACTGCGCTATTGCGAGCGGTCAGGCTTCGTATGGTCGATAGGGATGAAATTGCAGGGTGTGGATCAAGGACAAATAAAATTATTGCAAGAAATGTCGCAGGCTGACAGACCGTATCCAAAGCAATTTAAACTGCAAATCACTAGACCCAAATTGCTATAATTTCATCTATTCCAATGGCATGACTGGCTGTATTGAAGTCAACGCAATAGCTTATACGGCCAGTCGACTCCCAAAATAATCCAAAATTGGGGTTATTTGGTCGACGTTAACTACAGACAAATGTCAAATATATTGACAATAGAATGCCTGCAACAGATGATTTATTAACAACTCACGTTGACGAATTGTGGCAAAGTCCACATCTTGGAAAAAAGGATGCTCAACAATGTCTCCGTAACACAACCGTTGAGTGGGCTGGCAAATGAGTCGGCGGATTAAGTCTTTAGCCGACTCCGAAATTTGCACATCCTTAGGGAATTGAAGAGTGGTCTATGAAAAGGAGAGACAGTAGAAACCACAGGAAAGCATTACCTTGAAGTTACGAATATTATCCATCATCTTGTCATCGTCCTCATCGTAAAATGGTGTGTAGCCATAGAACATTTCATAGATGAACACACCCACAGCCCAATAATCGTACTCTGGACCAACACGCAGTGCGTCCTTTGGGCTGCGCTTGCGTTGGGTAAGCAGTTCAATGTTGAGGTACTCCTTTGTACCAACCATTGTCGGGCAGACACACTGAAACAAAAGTTGGTGTCAGATGGTTCAATGATTAGTTCATTATCTTGAAAAAATGTATAGCCACGAGTTACTGAGATTTTACCGCACCGCATTAAAATTTCAGACCTACAGTTATTTGATTTGGTCTCGAATTCTTCACAGAAATACTTGCGACTAAATTAAACAAGGTGGTGTTTTAGTTACAAATCTTTGCCTGTGGCAGTAAGCTGAAACTGATTGGATGCAAGGAAAGAATAACATGAACGCTGAACTTCGTTCCAAATAATCGCTACCGAAGACTTGGTCAGAAAAGAATTTAGATGGGCAGTGCTTAAGAGGAGGAATGGGGTTTAGTGACTGAAAAAAGCCGACCTGTCTACGAGAAACTAAAAAACGGAGCAGAACCACGGAGGATGAAACTAGAAAAGAAAAGAGGTCGTCTCGGAACTCTATGTGAAGACTGCACACAGCAAAAAAGGTGAGAAGGGATGTAAAAGTGGTTGAAACCTACTCTATGGTGCATAGTGTTCCGTGAAAATTTTAACTAGGGACGTCGATAGTGAAAGAATTCAAGCTTAGAAAATAAGGCACACATATAGAATTTTCACAGTAAGCAATGATCTATGCCAGCCTAGAAATGATTAAATCTACGACGAAAATTACCTTGCCATCAGCCTCCAAGCGGATTGCAGATCCAAAGTCGATTAACTTTAAGTGCCCACTTCGCTCAATTGCAAAGTTTTCGGGTTTAATATCACTGAAAGATAAAAGGGAATTGCATGGACAGAAAATGCAAAGACAGCCTGAGTCATCACAGTCGGTGCGGGACACTTAGCATACAAGACGGACAGGATAGACTGGATCTTGAGCATAATCCCTTTTTTCAGAAGTCAGCTAGACCATCTATGAGACTTTACTAGAAATCGTACATATGTGTATGGTTCGGAATTTTAAGGGTCGGATCTTACCAGTGAATGTAGCCCATCTGGTGAAGCGAGTGAACAGCCTCAACAACCTCAGCCGCGTAGAACTCAATCATCTCGGGGTCCAGAAGGTGTGCTGTCCTGGTAGGAAAGCAAATAATGAGGTAGTCTCAAGGTCCAGGACATGCGGGGTTCGACAACTCCGATGGGCATGCATACTTACTTGCTCAAAAAGATGTACATGTCTCCACCAGGCTCGTAATCCATGACCAGGTGAAGCTGGGTTTCATCCTGAAATGCGTAATACAGATGAGGCAGCCAGGGGTTGTCGACCATGGCGG